AAATTTAGTCTGTTCTGTTTCCGTCATCAAGGACAGCTTTTTTGGTATGCTTTCTTACAAAATGTTTGACCTTGGGAGATTGCTGCCAGAAAGGAAGACGCTTCAAAAACTGACAGCTGATTGTTGGAGGTTCGCAAACTCTGTTGTGTGGCTCAGTTGTGTGGGCTCAGTAGAAGTCCACAAGGGCTTAAAGACTCTCTGTGGCTCAGTACCCTGTGAAGGTGGTGAACTGCAAGGCATCAGGATGAGTTGCTGACAGCAAAATGATCTTTGCGTTTTCTCTGGTTTTAACTTCATCTGTGTGCAAACTGTGAGCTCTTCATGACTTCTTTAGGCTGGGAGACAATGCTGATACACAGAGGAGTTGCTGTGAGTAGAATAAGAGTAGAGTCAAAAGGGGCTGTTGCAGAATTTTCTCACAAGTAAGTTAAGAGGAGATGAAATTCAGAGGGCTGGAAAGAAGATGAAGAACTGTTCAGGAAAGGATGGCTGCCCAGCAGATAGGATGTTACCAGCCACAGCATCACCGTGTTTTGCTCTGGGTATTGTGGCAGGTTGTGAGGTAGACTGGTTGTTTTCCATAATGGTCAGGGAATAAGGAGTAAGGAATGCTTTTTTATTCAGCCAAAAAAAAATTTTTGTGAATAGGGAAATCACGTGTTATGTTCCTGGCGGTATTTATTAATGACAAGCTAATGAAACAGAGCACTGCAGAGAATACTGGTGTACAGCTTTAAAAGGGCAGGCAAAAAAAGCATGAGCCAAGAGCACTGATTAATAGAGGCTGCAGCTTTATTAAAAAGCCTTTTCTAGCAGGAGCTATCCTTACCTGCTTTCCAGTTCTGGCTCAGCCTGGATTGGAATGGATGGTGAACAGCACAAGGATACAACACCAATGTTGCAGAGACATGCGTTGCTGAGATTCGCTCCCAAGTCCCAGCTGGTGGCAGGGCTGAAGCTGTCCCTCTCCACTGTACTAGGGGGCTGAGCAGTGAGATGAGGCAGGCCATGTGGAGATGTAACCCCTCATATTGTATTTCTGTGGTCTGGGCTGGTGTCCAGGACAGCCCACTGAATTACAGGGGCCTTAGGATGAACCCTTTCTAAGCCACCAAGTGTTCTGAAAGCTGCCAAACTCTCAGCAGCAGAGTTCAGACTCCAAAAACCAAAATGAAGTTTGCAAAACCAACACAAATGCTTTTGGGAGCCAGACAGGAAAAGCCTGCTTCAGATGCCCAAACTAGCAATCCTCTGAGCCCACACCACCACAAGAAGCCCAGTTCACTAGATGAGAATGGAAAGACAGAATTAGAGAGACAGAAGAAATGAACCACAGATATTTGTTTCCCTTCCAGTTGAGCTGACAAAATGGCTGAAGGTACACTGAATATTTCAGCCACAGCTGTAGTACTTTCTCAGTTAGAAAAGATGTAGTTCCATTAAATAAAACTAACAACAACACTCAGTGTCTAGGGAAATGAACATTTATTTCTCAGTTAATAACATTAGTGGGAGATGCTGAGAAATAGTGTTCTGAGAATTCAGCCATTCCTTTTGGCTTCCTTGCTGCTCTTCTTCCCTTAGTTCCTCATTCTGGAATAGCTGTCATAATTGGGAAAAGTTCACTTACATTATCCATTTTTGGAAAATAATGATAAATTTAATGTTCAAAGTTTTGATTCACATACTGCTTAAATAAAGTTTTGGCAGCTAAGATAAAATCTGAGGTCATGGAGGAATATATACCACTTGTAGCTCACTGTAAGGCAGTGTGAGTTGTTGCGGTAGATCACTTTGTTTACCACCAGCAGAAGAAAATATAGCACTTGCTTACAATTTTTGTCTTAAATATGAGACACACAAACCTGTTTTGATAAAGATCTTGCTGGGTTTTTTTAATGTCAGCTGACATCAGTTGCACCCTGAATTTACCAGAGAAAGGGTATCCTTAGTCTTAGAGTTTCCTTTTAGGGAAAGACAGCTATGGAAGGACATGCCAGTTGTCATCCTGTTTGGAGATATTAATGAAGGGATTGTAAAGGTTTCGAGCTTTGTTTCACTACTGAAGACTGAAATAATAATATCAACTGCATTACCGTAGTACACAGAGACTGTGTGACTCCTCCAGCAGCTCTGGACAAGAAGAGAGTACCTAGGGAAGGATATATGGAATGCAAGGAACGTACAAACGAAAGTAAATGTAGAAGAGTTGTTAAAAGAGAGAGTGATTTGTATAATAGTCTGAAGTTACATGTTACTTTTTTCTGAATTCCCAAAGGAGTAGGTGTAATTACTATAGTGAAACAAAGGCCTGTTCTTAGCACAATTTAGAAAAATCTGTAAGTCATGACCTGTGCTTTGTCTCAGAGCACATTAACTCCATCCACAGAGCAAATACTTTGTGTGGTATCAGCTACAGGAGGGTTTGGGGCTTTTTACTCTTCTTGTGAGGAACTTAGTACTGCTTGCTGCAAAGGCAGGTAGGACTTCAGGGCAGATGCACCCTGTTTGGCAATAGCTTTTGAGATCTATGTGGATCTCTTGTGTTGAGTCCCTTGTGGCAGTGGGTCAACCTGGTATCTGCCTCTGGCACCCAGGGAAAACCTGGAGTAAAGCAATAGGAATTCTTGCATGGTGGATTTATCTACACTGTGGATAGACAGAGCTGGCAATTCATGCTTCTTCTAGATGACACTTGTGTGGCCATGTGCATGAGGGGATCCCTCATCTCTCTTGCACAAGCTGATGCCATTTATCCCTCTCGTATCAAACATTTAAGATAAGAGATGCTGCCTTTGGCCTTATGAGGGTTCAGGTGCAGGTGTCCCTTTCCTCTTTGCTGTGGTGCCTCTCTGTTCAGTTCAGCAGAACCAGTCTGTCCAAGTGCATATAGATGAGACTTGTCAAGATTTGACAAATTAACTTCCTGTGCCACGTTTGTTTATGGTTTTGTCTTTATGATGGCATGGTGGGGGATCTCATTATGGACAATAGCCAAGGTGTTTCAGTGGAAGTTACCAGGAATCATCACCTGGCAATTATGGGCAGGTGTGCCTTCTTGAGGACGAGCTTTACATAGCCTTGTCACTCATGGCTGATTATGTGCTTTGAAAAGTAACCTGTTCTTCACTTAGCGTGCTTTTTAGCAGAATTTCCCACTGTCTTTATAAAAAGGTATATTTTGGTTTTGTTACTTGTATTACAACAGAATAGCAGAATCCAGGGTTCAGGTGAATCCATTATTTAGATGGTGGTCCCTTTATTTTAAATTGATTTGTATATAATAGAGGAAGATTCCATTCCAGCGATGTTCTTGTTTTCAAATAGGGGGAAATGTCAGATCCAAGAACCAATCTAAATCAGCTGAATAGATGAGATCTACTAGAACATCTAATCTTTCAGCATGCCGGGAATAATATCCAGTTAGGTCCTTATTGCTGCAATTTTCAGTATAAGTGTTTGTATTTTTCTTTTTCAATAGAATTTCATTCTCTGTTGAAGCTTGACTCTGACTCAAAACAAGGAGGGCTTTCCTTGGAAATATTTAATGTAGTTGATTATAAAAACCCCAAAGGGAATTCATAGCTTGACTGATTGTTAGTTTATTGACAGTAGATGCAGTAAAATATTTCTAGCTTAAATATTTCTGACTTAATATTTTTAGATACTTAGCAAATACTACAATCTAGAGATCAAGTTAATGCATTCAGAGCTGCTTAGGTCTGTACAGGGAGTCATTGTTTTGGGTCAAGTGATGTTTGAAGGAGCAGTGTTTTTTGTTGAGGTTGTGGTTTGGTACTACACTGTGTGAATGCCTATCTGTGGAGATGCTCTGTTGCAGTGCAGTGCCATGGAGTTCCTTAGCTAAGGAGCTGAGAGCTGTGCTTTGTCTTATGACCAGATTAGCGATGGGCATTTCCATCCTGCCTCTGCCTGGTGAAAATTGCTTGAAAAAACACCATTAAAGACTAGTTATTAATGGTGTACTGTCAAAATGGAAAGATGTATCAAATTAACTTCTCTAGGGATCTGTCTTTGGTCTAGCATTATTCAAAAATTCTATTAACCTCTTTGATGGTGGAAATAAGGGAAAACTATAAAAATAGCAGATGATACTGCTCTAGAATAAATTTAGTCCAACCAGCTTTGAAAGAATTGATTTAAAGCATAAAATTATTTCATGAAGTCAGGAAAATTGTTCTCAATTAGTATGGAAATAATAATAATAACAATGGAAAAGGCTATCTAATGGGCTAGTTCAGAATAATGAGTTGCTGTAACCATTGCTCGTTCTGACAGGGCAATCAGACAAATGTGTGGCTCTGTACTGACATGGAAGCTCATTATCAATGACCATTCATAGAACTGAAGGACTGAGGATAGCATAAGGCGCCACTTTCTGAAAAGTGTTTTGGACAAAACTTCAAAGATCACTGTAAAAAGCAAACAGGTACTAAGGCTTGTCCTTTTAAAGCAGACGTGTGGCAGAAAGAAGCAGCTAGGTCTGCCTAGTCTAGAAAAAAGTAGACAACTGGGCAGAAATTACACTCTTTGAGCATGCAGAAAGTTTTTTGAGACATGGTGGTAACTATTTTTTCTTCATGTCCGAGTGATGATTACAAAATAGAGTAATGCTGTGGTTTAAAATTAGATGTTGGAAAAAAATGTTTGTCAATATAAATAGTTATTGCTGAAGATACTAACATTTTTGTCATTGGTGACTTTGCATAGTGCAAAGAAGCAGGATGATTTTGTACTGTTAATCCTGACACTTTCTAAGAAATGAGAGTAGAATTTTTTTTCTTTTTAATATTTTGTTCAAACAGAGCATGTCTGTGCTTTCTAACACGATTTGTACTTTAAAATTATAGACTGACTCAAGAAAAGGAAACAAGTTCTGTGGCTTTCATGATCAAGTTGTGTGGTGTGAATTAACAACTGGGTGTGCAAGTTGTCTTTAGCTACATGAGTAACTATGTCCCTTTGTTCTTCCTCAACAGTCTCCAAACGTCCACAACTACCCAGATATGGATGCTGTACCCTTGTTACTAAACAACATGAAGGCCGACCCCACGGAGTTTTCATTATCTACAGACCATTTCCAAACACAGACTGAACCAGTGGATTTGTCAATAAACAAAGCCAGGTCATCCCCTACAGCAGCTTCATCTTCACCAGTTTCCATGACAGCATCAGCCTCCTCCCCTTCTTCTACTTCTACTTCTTCTTCTTCCAGTCGGCCAGCTTCATCCCCCACAGTAATAACATCAGTCTCCTCAGCAGCATCTGTACCGTCAGTATTAACTCCAGGTCCTCTTGTGGCCTCTGCATCTGGTGTTGGAGGCCAGCAGTTTTTGCACATTATCCATCCAGTACCACCTTCAAGTCCCATGAACTTGCAGTCCAACAAAATGAGTCACGTGCACCGTATCCCCGTGGTGGTACAGTCGGTACCTGTTGTCTATACAGCTGTGAGATCACCTGGGAATATGAACAACACTATAGTAGTACCACTGTTGGAGGATGGGAGAAGCCATGTCAAAGGTAAGGTGGAGCCAGTTTTGTGCATCTGTGGCATCTCTGAAACTGGTCTTGTATGAGAAAAACATAATTGATCATAAAGTTGTTCGTTTCTGCACTTTAAAGTAAGTAAGCTTTTAAATTAGGATTGAGTTCAACAGTGCTGTTAGATGCTTCAACAGCTTGTGGTAGGTTTTGTCCTCAGAGAAATAAGTCCACTCCAGAAGCTGAAGAAGTAGGAGATTGGGAAAAATGTCAGTGTGTAATATTTGTGACAATATATAAAACATCATATGAACATGGAAAACTCACCAGGTGTTTCAGATTTAGCAAGGGGAGGAATGTCAGAGGGTTTGTTCTCCCAGCAAGTAGAAAACCATAATCAGGCTCTAGGAATGTGTGAAGGAATGGCTTTTGGACTAAACTGCATTAGCAGATGCAGGGAAGTAGTTTTTACTAAGCTTCAGGAGTGGCAGTGCAATACTTAGAATTAGGTTTCTTCTTCCAGATTAAACAGCAGAAGGGAAGGAAGCCACCCAGAGTGTTTGTGTTGGGAATGAGTTTTGCAGACACAGAGGCACATGGAGGTGTGAAGGGAGGAAGGGACACATGTCAGGAGGACGGATACACTGTTGAATTGTCCAAAGAACACAGAATGGGGAGCTGGAAAGCAAGAAAGTGTGAGAACCCAACAGTTACTGAGGGAGCAAAAACTTGTTAGGGATAGTGAAATGATAGGTGGAGGAAGGAAAGAAAAAATAGATGTGCCCAGAAACTTTGAAAGCACAGCTTTATAAAGGGGGCATTAGAGACCAAGATGGGAATGTGAGGAAAGGAATGAGATACTCATTCCAAGGCTCATTGCTTGTCAGTGAATAAAATACGGTAATTTTCCCCTGAAATGAGGTATTGCTTTAGACAGAAAGGGAGGATATTGACAGATAACCTTACTTGGTGGCTTATGAGACTGCAGGACATTTAGTCTTGTAGCATCTCTTGTTTTCCTAATTGCTTAGTGAGCAGGTCTCAAAAACTTGTTTCTTACCTCATGTCTGTTTTTCATTAACTGGCAATTGTGTATTATTGTACAGAACTACAGTGATGGATCATTCAGAAGTTTAGGGGTATCCTGTTGTCTATTAATCTGCGACTCTCCTACTGGTCCCTCACTACCCTAGTGGGGACTGTGCCCTCTCAATAGGCTTGGACATAGGAAATGAACTCACTGTTGATCTGAGTCTATTTTAAGCCTCAAAATGATGGTTTAAGTTTTATTACACTTCATACAGTGATGTAATTTTAGCCCTGTGTGCCTTTATGTCAAGAAATTATGAATAAAATCAGAACTTTGTACAATTTAGTCTAGGAAAAAACACCAAACAAACAGAAAAAGGAGAGTTTTAGTCTGTATTTTGATTTTGGAACTTCAAGGTGCACCTAACCATGAGCTCATAGAGAAATTTCCTGCTTGTTTTCTTTTCAAAGGTGCTAGTTGGCTGTGGTAATAGTCTCCTCCATAGGAAGCAGCTCCTGATCTTGTAAAACTGGAAAGTCACTGCCCCAGTTTCATCAACAAAATTCCAGAATTTAATGTACTGTAGGGATTTCAGCCAGTGAACTCCATGGCTTCAGACCTGCCCTGACAATATGGCCTTTGTGCTCTAATTGGCAGAGGTCATTAGCCATTAGCTCCTGCATCATCTGTTAATGCACAGTTAAAGAAATAGAAGGTATTAACAGTTCCTCAGTTTATTAATTTTTTCTCATGAGTTGTACTCATTTTGTTGTCCCTAATTATTTTGATTAAGAAGTTCAGGTTAATTTAAATAAATACAATAGAATTAAATTGGGCACAATCTACTCTAGGTAGTAATCTTTTATCAGCTCTGCTGGAGTGTTTTTCATTCTTTAATGCAAAACAATATAAATAATTAAATGCAGTGATATTGCACCAATTAACAAATTAAATTATTTTAATATGTGTGCAGACTAAATTCCCTTCAATGATCAGCTCTTGTGTTGATAATGAAAAATAAATGTACACAGATCCTAGTAGGGCGTTGTTGCCAAATTGAATTAGTTCCTAATCCTCTACCAGCTGATGGACAAATGCAGGTTTGGAGTCATTTCGAGTCACAGCTTTCAACTTCTACGTGAATGCTGCTAATTTTCAGAAACAGAAGAATATGCACACTGAAACAGTTGATCCACAGAGAGCATCAGCAGCATAATCACTGTGTTATTCCTGCATTGGTGCTAATTGAGAGATGACATTGATGATCCAGAAGTGCCAGTTGGGAAGCACTTAAAGTTATGTTTTACATTAACCTTTATCTAAGCCATTTTCACACAATTGAGACTAAGGCACTTTCCTGAAAAGAGATATTTTTAATATGAAAATTGCATCAGACCTGAGCTCAGACCTCTCCTGTTTTTCTAGGTTTCAGGTGCTGAGTGGAGCAAATACAAGAAACAGGGCATAGAGAAAAGCTTTTTCCTTGTTATTCCAAATTTTTTTTCTCATGGTGAATTTTCTTCTTCCTTCCAAGTTTGACTAGAACCATTTAATTTTTAGTTTTTTTGCAAAACCTTCTCAGCCTGTCACCATTCCTCTAACACTGTCTCCAGGTATTTTGTGCCGGTGGCTTTCTGCTTCCCCTGATGTTTCCCAGTCCTCCTTTTCTCTCTCTTGCTCCCAGACAAAACTCTCCTGGTGGCTGCTTTTTTAGGCAGTTCAAGCAAATAGTTCTTTCTTCATGTTTTGTTTGAATTTTCTCTTCCCTCCAGCACAAAAAGTTGCTACCTTGTCTTCTGTTTCCCCATCTTTTTCTATTTCTCTATTTTTTCTAGTCCTTGCCATCTTGCTGACTGCTCTTTGAGTGCCGCTTTCAGCAGCTCTGCTTTGTCTTCCCCTCCTTTTCAGTTAGTATTTCCAATACTGTCATTTCCTCCTCCGCCTCTGTGCATCCTTCTCCATGGTGCCATTCATCATGGTGTTCTTTGTCTCACCACCTTTCACAAGAGTCTCAGGTCTCCTTTTCTGCCTCCCAAGTTTACTGTTTATTTTTGCTGTCTATCCTGCCTCTTCTCACCATTTTTGTGGCTTTCTTTTTTTTTGCTTGCAAGGTTTCTTTTTGTTTTGAAGACGCGTATCCCTAGTATATACAAGGTGCAGGAGCGTCCCGTCAGGTCCTGTGCCACGTGCTACACCCCAAGGCAGGCAATGGGAGACAGGTCTGTCATGCTGCAAAAGCACCCTTATGTCAGAGTGATGTGCTTTTGCAGGATTAAAAACCTAGTCTAAATCAAAACCTGGATTGGTGCGTTTTTAGGAAGTTATTAACAATGTTTAATTAGAAGGTAATTAGAGAACACTATTTTTGGTGTCAGTAATACAGCACTTAGCATTTGCAAATCTTAATAAATTCCTACAAGTTGGTAACACCACAACACTCAACTATGAGCACACAGTTATGTGCAGACTCCCCTGTTGACCTTGCACCTTCCTCCCCTGATTCACCCATTGGGGAGGACACACTCAGGGGAGATCCCCAGAGCAGCAGGATCTCTTGCAGCCCCCACAGCACCAGACCAGCTGTGCAAGTTGCCCCCTGCCACATTCTTCTCTCATTATTTCATGCACACAAAGCAGAGTAATGTGTTAGGGCTGTTGGGCACAGAGGGGAAGGGAGCCAGGCACAAGTCCTCATGGACACCATGGGGCCAGGCTGTGCCCTCTGCCACCCCAACAACACGCAGAGTCAAAGTTCAGTTCCTTCAGTGGTCACTGCTCTTGTTACCTTAAAAGGTGCTTGGAGGTTTTTTTCTGTGAGGATTAGGTGGTGGACTAGGCATTATTGTACATTAAAATATTCCATGAAACGGTATTATAGTCCCAGAAGAATTCTTTCCATGCCTTTTTTTGCTCCCTGTTTAGCAACACTGCTAAAAGTTTAATTAGAGGCCCAGCAGGTAGCAGCACCTATAGATAAGACTGCCTTATGGTTTCCCTTAAAATGCTATCTTCAGTTGCTCCAAGTTTGTCTGTATGTTAACCATTGAGACTAACATTTTCCATACTGCATGTCTGCCTCAAGTTATTTCTGTGTTTTCTCTGGTTTTTCTTCCTTTAAGAGGAAATGTTCAAGAAGAAAAATTACTGCACTCTTCCTGAGACTGAGCATAGAGGAAAAAATGTAGCATTTTCTATGTTGAAAAATTTATTACAGCTTTTTTTTTTTTTTTTTTTTTTTTTTTTTTTGTAAAAAACTGTAAAACCTCAGGGTTTTAATGACATGAACGTCATGCTTGGTTTGGACCATTGTTCTTTGCTTTCAGCAGATATCCATGGATACTACTGGAAAATCATGTCCCTGTAGCAGCAGGTTTTGCCAAATACAATATCCTTGAAAATTGTTTTCTGTAGTTTAGGGGAGTTAGTGCATTCATTGAAAAGCCTTTTAGAAGCTCCTTACTGATAATGGTGGATGAAGGGCTGATGCAATTTTGATATTTCTGGAGTTTTGGAATCAAACTTATGGATTCTCATTCTTACGGGGTTTTTATGTTTTCGGAAGACACAATCACTTGCAAAATTCACGAGTCAGAACATTATACATTTATCGTCAACTGAACTTCTTCTGCTTCCCTTGTACATAAACAGCTGTATTCACATGATCTTGGACTATTTTTATGTTATATCTCTATACAGACCTGGCAAAAATACACAGGATTTGTCTTTTCACAGTTGCACGTGGCATATTCCCCACTGTGGATATATTAATAAGTAGTAAATGCAATATCCTTTGCTGCAGATTTTTTGGGACTTCAAATAGGTAGTACCATTAGATTACATGATCCACTGCCCTTATTGTTATTTTTAAAGTACAGCCTGTTATTTCTGCCTACTGTAAAGTTTATTTCACAAAAGTAAATGCAATTTCTAGTACAAAGATAGAAACTAAGATGTTCCATATGTTTAGAGGTCAGATTATGTGGTCTGTTTGTATAAATTATGCTATGGA